TTTTGTTGGACAATGTACATTGTTTCTTTCTGTGTCTAAACTGCAGTGCATGTTTTATTTTGTGCAAATATACCTTAAAGGGCACCTATTATGCCCCTTTTTACAAGATGTAATATTAGTGTAACGGAGGCCAGCTAGTAGTTGCTGCGCGAGTAAACCTCACTCCCCGATCTCAATAGGCGCTCTAGCGACAGACGCTAGAGGCTGCAGTCTTTAGCCTCCTTGCTAGAGCGCCCGACTCTCACGCCGGAGACCCGGGTTCGAGGCCCGCTCGGAGCGGGGCGAGTAGGACCCGGGTGTGAGGGGTTACATTGGTGCCGTGACCCGGATGAGAGAGAGGTTTAGGGGGGTGAGTGTAACGGAGGCCAGCTAGTAGTTGCTGTGCGTGTAAACCTCACTCCCCGATCTCAATAGGCGCTCTAGCGACAGACGCTAGGGGCTGCAGTCTTTAGCCTCCTTGTTAGCGCGCCTGACTCTCATGCCGGAGACTCGGGTTCGAGGCCCGCTCGGAGCGGGGCAAGTAGGACCCGGGTGTGAGGGGTTACATTGGTGCCGTGACCCGGGATGAGAGTGAGGTTTAGGGGGGTGAGTGTAACGGAGGCCAGCTAGTAGTTGCTGTGCGAGTAAACCTCACTTCCCGATCTCTATAGGCGCTCTAGCGACAGATGCTGGAGGCTGCAGTCTTTAGCCTCCTTGCTAGAGCGCCCGACTCTCACGCCGGAGACCCGGGTTCGAGGCCCGCTCGGAGCGGGGCGAGTAGGACCTGGGTGAAGGGGTTACATTGGTGCCGTGACCCGGATGAGAGTGAGGTTTAGGGGGGTGAGTGTAACGGAGGCCAGCTAGTAGTTGCTGCGCGAGTAAACCTCACTCCCCGATCTCAATAGGCGCTCTAGCGACAGACGCTAGAGGCTGCAGTCTTTAGCCTCCTTGCTAGAGCGCCCGACTCTCACGCCGGAGGCCCGCTCGGAGCGGGGCGAGTAGGACCCGGGTGTGAGGGGTTACATTGGTGCCGTGACCCGGATGAGAGAGAGGTTTAGGGGGGTGAGTGTAACGGAGGCCAGCTAGTAGTTGCTGTGCGTGTAAACCTCACTCCCCGATCTCAATAGGCGCTCTAGCGACAGACGCTAGGGGCTGCAGTCTTTAGCCTCCTTGTTAGCGCGCCTGACTCTCATGCCGGAGACCCGGGTTCGAGGCCCGCTCGGAGCGGGTCGAGTTGGACCCGGGTGTGAGGGGTTACATTAGTCTCGGGTGTCCCCAGAATGTATTTGTGAAGTTTCAGCTCAAAATACCCCACAGTTAATTCATTATAACCATTTGAAAATGTCATTTTTTGGGGCCTGTTTAAAAATGAGCTGTTTTGGTGTATACGACCTTAAATGTAAATGAGCTGCATATCCCTGCCCTGCCTTTGGATGAGGGCGTCACTTGCATACCTATGGCAGTCGGTAAGCAGAAGGGCTGAGAGAGAGAGAGACCCGCTGTTTTCAATGTCATTCAGCTGTACATGTTTGAATCGGAATATATAAAGTCTCTGATCAGACTCAGATGATGAAGAGACTCCGAAAGAATAACACAAATGAGAATGGACCAGGACGTTGTAACAGTCACTGTATAGATCTGCACTACATTTCCCAGACACCTCTTCACCACACACACCTGCAGTCACTCTCCTGACTCTCCTGACACCAGTAATGTAACGTATACTCACCTAAAAATACTAACCTCTTTGTCCATGTTCTGATGTTCCCAGAATTTGCTCCTTGATCCATGTTCATTCTTCTTCCTGAATCTTGTTTGCTGATGGCAGATCTGAAAGAGAAAGACAAGTATCACTGGACTGCGTTAGTTGGATGTTGATTACTATGAAGAGGATCTGCTCACCTGGAATCCTTCCTTCAACGTATCCTCCTCGAATTCACCTCTGAAACACTGATACTTTGAACACTCACCTTTGAACTTGAAATAAAGATTTATGTTTATTCATAAATAAACGCATCACTCGCATCACTTGCGTTGCTTTCTCGCGTAGCTCGCGTTGACTATGTAACGGCCCTTACTGTTACTGGAGGTGTCGTTGGATCGCAAACAGTAGACGACGGTCCACACTTGAGGATTAACTTTGAAGCAAGACCTGCTTTCAGTTGACCCTCGTTCACAAAACAGTCAGTCAGAAAATGATTCGCTCAAACATAAACTTATTTACGAAGGAAAGGCGCCACTTAAACTTCCAAAACATGAAACAATGCAATCCGCACACACAGAGTGCATTACCGCCCGCACTCGGCCATCAGATCTAGTCCCGCGCCGCGGTCTAGTGCGTTGGGACTCAGGAGTGCACGTCTCTAGATCAAAGAATCTAAGCTTTAATGATCATTTTAACTATGTCTGAATTTCCACCACGTCTGTTCTTGAATCAACTGTTGAAATGTAGATTAGGCTTCTGCCGGCGGTGTGTCTCCCTCCATGCAATTTACTAGTGTTGCCATGGGGACGCTTCGGCTTTTGCCACCCGGAAGAACGTCTATTATTGTTGTGACGTCATGGTGAATTGTCGTATTGTGTGGTGTCATCACATTTTTGAACGGATTTTTAGAACAGGTAAGTTAACTCAAAAATGCAATTTCAAAAATGCATTATCTTAGAACCTCCCTTTTGAATGTAAATTTCAAATTACTTGACAAAAAATTACATCCTGAGAAAAGTGGATTTCTGGGAGTGAAACCCCACAGACCAGAGCCATGTATTGAGAGAGTTATGACAGTCCCGTAGACCGCCATTGTAACTCAGGAATGCGGAAGTAACGCGTGTCATGGACCCGCCCATTAGTTCCAACCACTGATAGTTCCAGCATTGAACCCCATTCATTTTCAGTGCTTCCGATGTCCTCTCGCTGGTAAATTAATGAAATTACTGTAATTTTTACTTTTACACACATTAGCCGACCTCTCGTGAATAGTCTGTAGTTATAGACGAATCCGACGAGCGTTCTGTGTAGGCTGCCATCTTGTGGCGACGCCATTACTGAGCTGTTACACCGGCATAGGTATGTAAACAAACCTCGGTGAAAACGCGAAAGCACCCTCGATGACAGCTACAGACAGGCAGAATGACTTGTTGGGTTGATGATGTTAGACAGTGGCCTCCAGTCACCGATGAAGGTACAAATGATCTTAAAGATTATTTATGAAAATAGCTTGGCAAGTTGGCAAGCTAGCTGCTAACGTTTGCTCATGACGTTTGCTGAGGAAACTAAAAAAGATCTGTCCATTTGGCAACAATAAATAAATAAATGAATGAAATCAAATAAATAAATTCGTGTTTTTCCTTTGTGTCCATTATTTATCTCATTTTCACATTGCAACAGGCAAGGGTAAGGTAACGTTACAGCTAGAAAGTATACATGATATCGACCAATTAGTGTTTTTAAACCATGGAAAGAGGTCAATATAACAGCAGGAGAACAATTATGTCACATAACTTTACATTTAGCACAGGAAAGCCATTTAATAACCTAGCATGTTAATTGAATAGAAAAAATAGCAAGAGAGGAGATTTTGCTGATCACTATCACATATTTATTATATTTTTTTATGTCATTAGATAATTGTTATTATACGCGAATTTCCGCGTCAGCTTGTACTCGCCCAGGAAATCTGTGTAAACCGTACGGCTCCAGACAGGGGCAGTCGACCCGGGGTATTCACAGTGTTTTTTCTTTAAAATTGAAATTTTACTGCCACCATTGAAACAATTTATAACGGAAACTGTTTACCCACTCGACATTATACAAGGGGTAACGGTGCAACGTTAGTGACAGTCGTAAATCGCGGGCTGTTTATTCCAGTGGACGCAAGTTGCAACTAAAATAATAGGAGGCATTGGCGCAACGCTACCCAGCAACAGCTCAGTAATGGCGCCCCGCTTACTTCCGGTAGTTTCGCCGGATTCGTCTATATGTTATGTAGCCAGATCTAGTAAATGTTTATTGGAAGATAATAGGTTAATTGCAGCGATAGCTTACGTGACCAACACTTCACTAACGTTGTTAGCTAACTTATGGTTACCTGATGTATATATTTTTTTCTAACATCATATAAATAAATATATATATATATATATATATATATGTATGTATATATATATATATATATATATATATATATATATATATATATATGAAGAGTTCAGATGCAAAAGCCTCTAAGTGCCATTTGAAATTTTCTTCTAGAATGGTAATTTTTATCAAGCTTGTATATTTAAGTTCAGTGATTTCACTTAAATGGCAATGATAATTACCTATTAATTGTTATTTAAGTGAAATTACTGAACTTAAATATACAAGTTTGATAAAAATCATCATTAAAGAAGAACATTTCAAATGGCATTTAGAGGCTTTTGCATCTGAACTCTTCATATATATATTAGATATACATATACACACACACAATTGATTTATTTAAATGGTTTAGGGTTATGCATGTGTTTGTGTAATGTATATAGGCATACATAATATATATATATATCGGAATCGGAATTTATAAGCAAGATCACGGGAATCAATAACCTATATCCCAGTTGTGCAAAAATAAATATCATGAGACGTCCATCATCAGATGAATGACATGGAAAAGTTAAGTTAGAGCCGCTCTAAAGCCAGTGCAACTACCAATGCGAACATAAACACAAGCTTTTCCCTCCAAAAATATAGCCTAAAAAACATCTAAGTTGTCACCCTGCCTCTCCAAATGCAACACTGACATTAATCAAACGCAATAAAAGCTTAAAAAGTACTTTGGTGTGCGTTTTATTTTATATTTACCGTTTAATAATGCAATCGCTGCTGTCTGTCCATTGAAGAACATGACAGCCCGCGTCTGTTTTGGAACTATTGGGGCTTCCATGAACCACGTGACAGCCTTGCGGCGACATTCATTCTGAACTCGACCGCGAGCGCCCCCGCATGGACAGAGACGTGTTGCGCATGTCAACGGCGCCGCCATATTGCGGAGGGCAACAACATTCCCATTTCCATCACAACAGTAGTTGAGAAAAAATGCCTTCTTCATGTGCTGCTTGGGGCTGTACAAATCGCCGCACTATTGAAAATAGGTCACGGGGAATTACATTTCACAAGTAAGACTTTTTTCTGGCTGTATTTGGTCATTATATATTGGCCACCAGATTTAGTCAGACCAAAATAACGTTAGCTTGCTTGCGGTGTCTCTAGTTAACTTTGCTGTGAAGACACGAGTTGACGTGATTTATAGTATAGTTTTAGCTTATATTATATTTTATATTATGAAATACATTTCCTGAAAATCTAAATATTTTCTTAAAACCGACTTTTATGACAAGTAACTTACGGTTACGTTTCTTACGGTTGTGAATCTTACTGTAACGTTAGTTAGTTAGTTGGCTAGCTCACTTTTCTCACACTTTAAAGGTTTCCCAAAGACAAAGAGGTGAGGAGACAGTGGGAAGTAGCCACACGAAGGCAAGGTTTTTCCGCAAGCGATTTCTCTGTGCTATGCAGTGAGCACTTCGAGTCGGATCACTTTGACAGGACAGGTCAGACTGTCAGGATTAGGGATGGAGCTAAACCATCAGTCTTCAGTTTCCCTCCTCATCTACAAAAAGTAGGTTTTTCATCACTACATTATAATGATTTAATATCTTGCCGTTAAATTGTTATTTATTTATATTTTTATTTCCTTTTTAGCCCGTTGCAACCAGGACTACACAAGCCTCAAAGAAAGCTGAGAAAAGTCTGTTAGTAAACAGTTCTCAGCATTTCCAAGAGACTGATCCTCCTCTGCCTAATCCTGTGAGTATTTTTTTTATTTAAACCCAGAAGAGCTGTGAGCATTATGACCCTGTTCATATTCAAACCACTCTGTCTCTCACAGAAAATGACATTTTGATAAACTAATAACAATTTTTTGTCATAATTTACTGCCATCACATCAATTAAAGAGGAAAGCACTCACATTTTCAATCAGTCACATCAGGTATAAAACAAAAGAACAACTTTACCTGTTACGTATGTGTATACGTGTATGTGTATGTATGTCTGTGTTTGTGTGTGTCAGTCAGGTAAGCATATTCAACACAGCATGTTAAAAATGCAAGTATAACATTGTACTAGCTATTCACCAACCAACTGAGATTGTGCAGGTGATATAAATATTACTCAAAACATTTTCATCCTTCTTTCTAGGACCACACCTATGCATTGCCTGCATCTCCCACTAGTTTAAAGGCCAGACTCTGTGAAGCCTTGGCTAGAGTGGAGAGTCTGGAGCGAGAGAAGAGGAATGTGAAGGACCGAGAACGGAGGGCAAAGAGCACTGTACGTGATGTTCTGGAGGATCTGAAGGGGAAGAACCTCATAAATGAAGACTTGAAAGAGAGGCTCAATTTCTACTCTGGTAAAAAAACAATTATGCATAACTTATGTGTACACTTTCCCATTGTTATTATTATTATTATTTCCAATATTATGCAAGAACACTTATTAGTTAGTCTGTTATAACTGTCACAATGGATGGACATGCTTCTAATATTAACATGTGCACCCAACTTGGGTGCCAGTTAAAGGGATTTTCTGATATTTAGAAGAAAATCAGTAACCAGACAGTTTCTGGTCTCATTGACATCCATAGTAAATTTTTTTCCTACTATGGAATGGAAGTCAAAGAAACCAGAAACTGTCTGGTTACTGATATTCTTCTAAATATCCGAAAATCGGCTGAACGCATTTGAAAACGGTGAAACTCAACTGTTTAACTCTGGGGGAGTTGTAAAATGAGCCTATTTCCAAAAATAGTGGAGTATCCCTTTAAAGGCAAACTCTCTTGTGCCCTTAAAAACCTTTTTCGCACATCCAGTGACTGGTGAGAGGGTGTTTGTGATGATGGATGCCTGCCACATGTTGAAGCTGGCTCGAAATATGTTGCAGGCTTACAGTCCAATAACCAGCAGCACTGGTCAGATCAACTGGACATTCATTGCTCATCTAAATGAAGTTCAAGTCAAAGATGGACTACATGCAGCCCACAAGGTAACAGGCAAGCACGTGCATTTTGATTCCCAGAAGATAAAGGGGTCTTTGCCTGCACAGACACTTAAGTCGCTCAGTCGCTGTAGCTCTGCGGACATTAAGAGACCTTGGCTATTCACAGTTTAAACACTGTGAAGCAACAGCGGAATTCATTGAGGTAATACTATGCAAAAATGGTGATGAAACAAATGCTTTCTTTTAATGCAAACATATGCTTTTAGATGATTGACAGGCTTTTTGACATAATGAACAGCCGCAATCCACATGCCAAAGGGTTCAAAATTCCCCTGGGTTCTTGGAATTGGACTGATAGAGTAGAGTTCTTGTTGAGAGCCAAGGAATTTGATCAGTTTGGTGATGAAAGATGGCACAACCTTTCATCAATCAAAGAGGTTGTTTAGAATTGTCAAGCTTCTATTCAAGTTAATGACATCATAAGTTCATATGATGCTCTTGTTCTGATCTTTTCACTGTCTCTTTTTGTTTCTGTTAGAATTCTTCTACAGGTGAAACAATTTGAATATTGTGCAAATGTTATAATGTTGATTATTATGGCTTACAGCATATGAAATTAAAAATGTCAGAAAAATAGAATATTACATGAAATCACTCAATTTAAAAAAAGGATTTAAAATAAAGAAAAGTCTTTGGGGTTGGTTTGGGCCCATTTTGCATGAATTACTGCCTCAATGCAGCTAGATAAATTAACTTTTGCACGACATTCACATTTTTCGAGATTCACCTGTATGTTCAGTAATTTTTCAGTTCTTTCAGGTGGCAAATTGGTAAGTGTGTATTTTTAGCCTTTCCAGGTCTGTTCTGAAATTGTTCCTAGTTGGCTTAATTTCTTAGAGGTAAATCATTTACTTAAAGGTTCCTAACCCTGACACTAATTTACAATATACTCTTGAGAAGCATACAGTAACTTTGAGTTACACACCGTCTTTTATGTACAGGGAAAATATAATTACCAACCAGAGACATTGCAATGGTGTGGTTTCTTGGGAATTGTCCCTGAATGTTTTCGTTTGCCCTCAGTCTCTGTTCTAAACTGTTCTACAAGTCAAAGGAGCGAATGTTTTATCATTAGAGCTAGGGCTGCACAATTAATCGAATTTGTAATCACGATTACAATTATGGATGCCACAATTATGTAATCGTTCAAAGGCACAATTATAAAAAGTCCACTTACATTATTCTGTGTACTTAAAATGTTTTTTTTTTTTACAGCTTATCTTAAGGGTTTTTTCCCCATTGTTTTAATTTTAGTTAGTGTAACATTATAATTATAATTAACATTAAAAAAACACTATCTAACATTGTTTACTTAAAATAATGTTTCCAAAATGTTATTAGTGGTTCATCAAGTCGTAACAGGGTGAAAGGCACTTCTGCCGTCGCCTGACGGGGTCTGTATCACTTTTACTGGCACTATGTAACTTCAGGGTTCGGGTAGGAACCCGACCACAAAAAGAACTACAAAATTCGACTGCTTTACATCAAGCACTACAATAGTCATTATTTCGTTTTTCTTCGTTTCTGATGTCGCAATACATCATCCTTTCATGAAATCATGTAACATACTCTACTTTGTCTGTGGACATTGTTCATTCTAAAGCCGGTGCTGGATAAACAGCGAGCGTGCGTGCGACGGTAGGCTAAATTATTTACGACAGCGGCAATGGGAAATTTCGTTTCCAACCAGTAGGGCGACCGAAGAGGAAAAGTTACTTGGTGTTGCTTTAAACCATAGAAAAGCATTGAACATTTTTCAAAAGTTTTTAGCCGTTTTATTTTGATATAACAATTTGCATGTTGTCACTTCGAACAATGGCATAAAGCTGTTCAAAACATCATTCAATGTAAATTGTGATAATCGTAATTAATAATCGCAATTATAATGTCAAGGCAATAATCGACAATTATGATTTTTGTCATAATCGTTCAGCCCGAATTAGAGCTATCTATTGGTCACCATGATGGCATGTCACTGTGTTGTTCCACCACATCAATATAATTTACAACTTTCAGTGAACAAAATTACATTGTGCTCTCTTAAGTGTATCTTGATTTTGCCATGATCATACTGACAAAACATTTCATTTTTAAGGTACCTGTCTGTCATGGGGTTCAGCATCAATATCGACACCCTAATGTTGATGATTCCTGAACAATTACAATTTCGGCGGTACATCTGCACTTACCGATTTAGCCAGGATCACCTGGAGCTCTTCTTCAATTCAATCAGGTAGGCATTTCAGAAATGTATAAATTAAAAAAATATATATAATCTAAAAAGAGGCAACATGTATGTATTAAAGGAAGAGCTGCATGATTAATCATAACAAACAATATTGATTCAAACACCTACTACACCATCTTATTCCTAAATGACAATTACTCGCTTTGTCTATTAAACCTTTGACAAGTAGGATTACTGCAAAAAAAAAAAATCGTGACTCATCCAGAATCACACATTTTTTCCAGAATTGTACAGCTCCAGTTTACCCAAATTCAACTTTGCTGGTAGTCACCATCAGGCCAAGATGTTCTGATTGTCTTTATTTAATGAAGATTTTTTTCATATACATCTTAGATGGCCTAGATTTTCATGTGTGTGTGTGTTTATGTTTGGTTTTTAGGGGGATGGATAACATGGATAACAATCCTACTGCAGGTCAGTTCCAGGGCATTGTCCGGCGTCTCATGGTCTGGTGCGGGGTCTCTCCAAGCACATCAGGGAATGTGGCACCACAGAATGAGACCGTGTGGCTATCAGCTGTCGAAATATCATCTCTAGCAGTAGATATGAATCTGAGGAGCTTCCATTCCCTTTTCTAAACGTTTTTGCACTTGAGTGTGACCACAGCTACCTGCCAACCCGCTTTGGTAGCCTTGTGTACATTTCAGGTTTTGTAGTGCGTCAGATTTTGAGAAAGCTTGCCTGTGATGTGTGCCGTGCTAGCTTGGTGGCAGATGCTGTACCTGCATCTTTTGATCAGAACTACCACTTGCTTTTACTGAAAAACAATGGAGGGCTGATGATTCCTTCTGAGGGTACAGTGAAGGTGGTTAGATCAGCAGAGCGGTTTATTCGCCGGTCAGAGTTTCTTTGATCAAACAGTTTGTCAGAGCTGGGATTGGTTCTGATGATGGGTTTTCTCTCAAGGAGCACATACCGGAAACACAGTTTGGAATTGACAACCATCATTTTTCTCTCTTTTCATTAGTTTTGTCTGTCTTTCACAAAGTAAGGATGCACCACATTGCCAAACTTAACACTCTGACACTACTGCTCTGCAAAGCAGTTCTTTTCAAAGGGTTTTTTAGCTCCCCTGTGACCTTACAAAGGGTGAGTGATTATAGATGATTGATGGGTAACAGAAATGAATCATTTTCTATTTTTATTATTCTATTATTCTGCAATTAAAATTACAATGCATTTTCTATTAATTATTTTTATTATACCACTTGCGATTATCAATCTATTATAGTTATGGTGTTAAATTATTATACTAGTCACTATTTAACTTATTTTTTTAATTGTATATATTATTTAATTGTATTATTATTATTGTATATGCTATTATCTATGTATTATTGTACTTGTGATATTATATAATTATACTATTCATTATTATTTTATTTACTGTATACTGTTGTTACTGTATATTTGTTTTATTGACTGTACACTAAACTATTCACTATTACTTTTCAATTTCTTATATTTATTATATGCATTGCACAGTGTAGCCTAATTGTACCGTCCATGTCATAATAGTATAATTAATACCATAAGGATCCATCAGTTATCTTTTTTATTGTATATTTGAAGTATCTGTAAATATCAAATTTGTTTAATTTTGCTGATTTGTTTTATTTTCTCAATGGCTCAATTCTAAGCACAAGCTAAAATCGGATTAAAGACAGAAAATGCTTTTTCCACACACACACACACACACAAAACCCGTTATTTAATATAAAATGAAAATTAAAATATAGCTGCGAGCAGCGATTGCGGGCCCAAGCCGGTGGCACCGCAACCCTGATGCCTTTAGTTACCCAAAGGCACCGGGATGGTGGTACCGCCGGCTTTGGCCCTTTATCGCTGCTCACAGCTATATTTATATTTAATATAAAGCCGGTGGCACCGCCACCTTGGTGCCTTTAGGTTTATTCTGTACGACGTGTAAAAACGTACCCCGCTTTGACTATCAAAAAGAAGTGTATTGTAGAGCTTGCATCATGCGGACTCGATGCGCTGTGCGCTGTAACTCCATGTGGCTTTAAGCGCATCATTTCTCCACTCGGGATGCGCATAAGCGTTGGTGCCACACTGTACTGAGCCTTTCATATCATAATGCAGTGACGCAATGACAGATTATTAATTGCCTTTCTTGTTCTGTTCCATCTATTATATGTTGATAATAGATAGGACAGAGCACTAAAAACCTCAAACAAAGCACTAAAAACTTAAGCTGTTTGCTGTGTAGTCTGAGAATGAGCTGTTTGATTTGCACCCTCTTCCTCTTCACTGTCCTCCATAAAAACCAGCTATCCAGGTCCATGTTGTTCTAGAAAGTTTGTATGTTGCTGCCTCAATTAACATCTCTGCTATACATTTAAAACATGGCTATATCTAAAATAATTTATCTTTTTGATTTTTGTCATCTTGTTTTCATGAATATTTTACAACAATACAAAGAGCAATGTGTATTTTCCATTAATATAGTTTGTAATGGCTTTTTTTGTCATAGATTATAATCATATATTTTTTTGGATTTGTTATTTATCTTTATAATGAAGTTGTCTGTATTAAGTAGATTGTGTTTTAACACACAAGAGTGATTTATTAGTTCAACACATAGTTTATAGAAATTCTACTTTATCTAAAAAAACCCTGCACTTTATACACACACAACACACACACACACAATAAATACATGTAAATAAAAATACCAAAAAAAAAAACATCAAATGTGTTTTTAGTCAGAGTATTATTTTATAACAGAAACAAATATTTGTAATTCAGATAAGAATGAAGTTAGTGTTTTAAAATCTTAAGGAAAACAAATATATTGAAATATAGCACATGAATTTTAAATTCATTTAACTTCAATTACAAATACAATCTTACTTTATTTAAAGCAAACTATGCATTTAAAAGATGGGGTTATATGCCTATTTTGTCATTTAAAATATTGTTATGCAAATTGTTATGCAAAAAAGACAAGGACTTAGAGACAAGGACTTGTAGGAAAAATCACAGCCAGCCACACACACACACACATAAACACAG